AATTAATTAAAGGATTTTACCAGCTGTTTCAACTGCACAAGTTGGTTCTATGATATGCAATAGCATTAAAAGGTTATAAGGATTAACAACGGGGAGCAGCTGCACTATTAATTATTTTTGAATAATTATTATATTACTATAAAAAAGCTGTGAGAACTTAACTTTTTCCAATTGTTTAGGTGCTGTGGTAGAACATTATGGCTATGGTACATGTGCTATACTATAGTATACCGTAAATTATAGTAAACCAAATTTTCTTAAAACGTGTCCTCTCCCATTGCAAACGCAAAGCAGGAGTATAACTGCAATAAGCATTAATACTTATAAGCCAACCCCGTACGAAGGACGTGGGTAGTTGTATATAATCTATTGTTACAAGTTTTAATTCGATCGTATGTATATTTTATTAGTTTTAATAATATAGATGTATGAGAGTATCCAATAAACTACATTGCCGCCTAAAATGTACCTTGCATATTCAAAAAGGGTAGTATTATTTTTAAAACACACTAAGTTATCTATTTAGCACTACTATCTATTTAGCAACCTTTAAAACCCCATTACAAGCGTCAATAACATTTAATATACAAATTTAAACAATTTTATATCCATCTTAAAGTTAAAATATTTCTAGTTCTACTAGCATAGAGAGAGCAATATTGGTAACAGTGGTAAACTCAAAACGTTTAAATAATGTTGTATACCCGTCATTGAAGTTTGTTACTGATTAAACGAAAAATTAGAATTGTCAAACTTAACCAATTTTGTTTATAATGAAATTCATAATATAATATTTATATTTTTGTTGGAGTTAGCCACTTTGTTCACAAAATTTAGGCGGTTTGAGGGAACGTTCCCTGCCACTTTTTGTTATTTAATGAATGTTGCCAATGACTATACATTGAAGAGACTTCCCATGTAATGTAAAAATTTGAAGCCAAACACTTGGTGCAATCTGTTGAGATGATCTACCAACTAATGACAATATTCTGTGTTAAGTGATAAATCAATCAGCTGTTCGCTATGATACAGCATTGATTTTAATGAATATTTAACACAAAACACAAGTAACCTCTGGTGAGATGGTCCTGAACTCCTTCTATTTCCTTGGCTTCAAATATTTACATTACATGGAAAGTATATTTTGTGTAGTCAATTATGTAGCTTAATCAGCTGTCGAGTTATTATTTTAAAGGTAAGTGGATAGATTTCTTCCCTTAACCACCTAAATATTGTGGACGAAATATTAGTTCCGTACATCTCGATTTAACTACCAAACATTTAACATTTAAAAATATTTTAGACTCAAGTCGTAATTGAACCGTTGCACAAAGTACACAAAACACTGTCAAATACATTAGAAATAGAAATGCACTTCACCGATTGAGAGTTTGCCCTTGATCTCTGTCACAAAGAGATTTCTCATGTATGAAAGAGCACTTCCAGTTCAAGTCATCCTTGTTGAAAAAGAAGGAAAGTCAGCGACAGATTAACGACCTGGGGTTTGTCAATTCATCTTGATATCCTACTGGGATATTGTGTGACTAAGTGTTGAAGAAAGTTATATTAGTGCTTGTTACCCTCTCAGTGTGGTGAAAATGTCTATAGAGTATATCCAGCACTGTGCAAATCGAAATTTGTATATAATACACTACATGATTCCCCATTGATAATTATTGAGAGTTTTTTTTAACTTTATTGATTTTGTAATATTTATCTAAGCGAATTTCAATTTACCTGGCTGGATTTTTACTAAAATACTCCCTTAAAAGTGTCAGACTTATTTCCTACTTAAAACATTAATTGTAATGAGTACTTAGGTTTGCTGCTACAGGGAATGTATTAATGTGTTTATTTCTCGAAATGTTGATAGCTTAGTATAAAATAAATATATCGGCAAAATTTGATTAAAATATATCCATAAACAAGCAAACTACAATAGTTGATTTATTCTCCATAAGAATAACATGGGAATTTTTAATTTAATTTTTTTTATTATCTCCGTAACCGCTAGGCATACAACAACGCTCCAACATACAAAATTATTTCTTTTTTAAGCTTTTTTAAATTGTTTGAAAGGAAATTTATTGTGAAATTTTGTGTTCGTAAACTCGTTCGAATAAACGTAGGTTTACACGTTTGTACCGAATTTAATCAATATAGGATCATGTTTGCTCGAATTATCGTGCTAAAGGACATAATTATATGTATACTGACAGGTTATATATGAATTTGTACGGAGGGTGTTTTTGGCCTCTGGGGACCTCAAAACGGAAAAGTAAATCGGCCCCGGGTCTAGGTCTTACTTCATAGTAAGACCTAGATCTGGGGTCGATCTCATGACTTACGGTAATAGCTTATTCCCTATATAGGAAATTCGCTATAAATTAAACTAGTCGTTGTTTTGAGTTAAAACGCGTAGCAAATTATAACAAATTAATGCAATTTTTCTTATTTAAATAGCTATAGTCGATCATAATTTCAAAAGAAGTGTTCACACCAATAGTTTTGGAAATCACACAATACCTATTTAGAGAACTATTAATAACAAAATTTGTTTCTACACGTCTTTCAAGAATTCGTAAAATAGTTCGTTTAGTGATATTTAGAAGGGGTTATCTCAGTGTTTAAGGATTCAATATAGAAACATTTACTTGACTATTAGTACAATTTCCCGCATTTTGCCACCCCAACTTTCTGTTATACTTGTAAATCCCGTCTATGGGGAAATGTATATTTATTTGAATAAATGAATGAATGAATTTATTCCACCACACATATAAAATTACACAACCAATACACAAAAAGGAAAAAGGTTTTATGCAAAACTAAACTATTTAACTATAACTACTTAGCTATATAAATGTGTCAAAGGTTGTTCCTATCTATTTATATAATACTATTACAATGAAAAAAGTATTTTAACTGTAAATAATTATTATTATAGATTTGACAAGAATGCAAGTTAGAAAGGTTTACGTGTGCATGCATATCTGTTTATATCATTTTCTTATGACTACAAAGGAGTGATTTCATAATATCTTACACCTAAATAAACTGCCAAAGTGATATTATTAAGTTGATTATTATATGATTTTAGTACATACAAGTATACATACTGATCAGTTATGAAGTTGTGGTTTAATAGTTACAATGAAAATTGTTGAGCCAACGTTGTCAAATAATCGAAAATAATAAACTATCATATATTTTGTAAATTTAAACCGTGTTATTAGTGACTAAATGTTTACAAATAAATCTTCTAAAATGATGTATCAAGCGATTAGGTTTTAAAATTCTTTTTTTATATCTGTTACTTATATTTTTAATAAGTTTATCAATTTTGTTTACAATAAAAAAATAGTTTTCACGTAAAAGCAGCATATTTAGTATAACGCGATATTTCTGATAAAATCGGGTAATCATCAACTGTGCAACATTCTAGGAATTAAAAGTAGTTAATATGCGATGTTTTGCAATTCACTGCTAGCTGATTTTTCAGTTATATTATAACTAGTACTGTTGATAAAATCGATATTCAATTGAAATTTATAAACCCCTTTACAACATTCTTTTCTGCACTATCTTTTTACAGGTTTCTGTTCAATTAAATGTATTCGGACTTACACAATTTTAAAGTGTTATAATATAATATTCAGATATACTAAAGTGACAATAGTTCGACTCTTTCCTCCACTAGGTGGATTTTATGTATACACATAAATTTATAAATATGTTTTCTTCTTCTTTCTTTTTTATAAAAGAGGTTGGCGGCCTCTTTTAACCTTGCATTTGCCCGTCCACATAGACTACAGATCTGTGCGTGGAACGTATCCAGCAAAGCAAGGGGTAAGCCGGTACAGTACAAAGGTGAACTGTACTGATAAAAGTTAGTGGCAGTGACCAGGATCCGAACCCACGACACTGCTGCCTTGGGCCCGAAGTCCGCGACGCTACCGACTGAGCCACCGACTCACCAAATTGAGTTACATATATTGATCAATATAGGACTTATAACTTTACAGAAGCAATTTCGTGTTTATCTCAAACACTTTTCGGCACCTAAACAACTTCGTATAAAGTGGCTTGGAAGCCTTGATAATAAATATTCTAAGAGTTTATCGAATATATCTCAATATACTACTTTTACCCCTGAAATCGAGTTTTATATTAGTTCACGACATTCTTCGTCTTGTGGTCCCTAAGATCAACAATTATAAATTTAGTTACGCACATTACAAATCCATGTGTTTAAATTAGGTCTAATCTTTTGTGGAACAACTTCCCGTTAAACTCCATAATTTTGAAGCAGTTCTCGACTGTATTACATATTAAAATATGTAAAATATGTATATATATAATCGATTTGCACACCACCTCTCGTATAAGACTCCCTTATACCAATGCGTAGCTCCCTTTTCCTTTATGTACATAAGGGATGTAATGTACTTAAGGCTTATGCTTTACGTAGCTCCAACTGACAACGAAAAATCTGTAATTATTTTTGGACTGAGTAAACTCTAACAGACACAAAATCTCAAGCATATTGCATAAGTATATGTAAAATTGTATGCGTAAATTGTTTCCATATTGCCCCTTGCACTTTACGAACTAATCCATCCGTCAACAAATATGTAAACATTTAAGAACGCAAAATTTAAAAAAATTGTAAACCCCAAGAGTTATAAGTAAGTATAAAATATTACACAACAACACCATTTTCATGCCATAACTCTCTCAACCCTTATATTTTACATGTGTCTCATTCCGAAAATTTTTTTTAAAGATCATTTGTTTAGATAAAAACCCAAAACCTCGTGAATTAATAGCTGTAAAATTTATTTCTTCACACCCCTTTTCATAAAGTCACTAATACTTCGTATGGCCTTTTTAGGCATCAACAAAAATCTGTCAACATTTTTGGAAGGATCTACCTAACAAAACTCTCAAAACTGTGAGCCCCATTGTACACTATCCACAGAGAACATACAAGTACCAACCTGTTCAGGTGAGGTATCCAACACACTGCACGGTCTTCACGATACAGACTGAGGGACCCGTGGACGACCCTAGGCCGCGACTCCTCCATTACGTCATACTTTCTCCGTCTCATCCCCCCTCCCCCTCCTCCCACGACCACTGTTTGTTTAATTAATCACCTATTGATTCCAGGAGCTTATGGTTTGGCGTGTGACTTGCGGCATTTTAGGTTCCTGAACGTGTGGTTTTGAAATTCATTTAGTGAGGTTCTTGAAAGGTTCATGCATTAATTACGCCAAAGAGTTCCTTAATTGCACCAAGCCCTCAAAGGGTCCCAAAAAATGTTCCTCAGTTGTGCCAAACCTAAGGCAGGTAGGGGTGAGTTGCCGGCAGAAGGGATTTCCTTGTTAAACTTGTCATCTATGACTATTCCAATAGTTAACGATGTCACCCTAGCCTAACCTAACCTACTCAATTGTACAGACAAAGAGGGTCGCCAATTTGCTTGGGGAACGTATCGGGTGGCTCCCTGGAGTAGTTGGCGCAATTCAGGAATACCCGACTACCTGACTCAGGTCAGTTCTGCGCAATTGATACCCGCCCTTTTGAAAGGAGGTGATTTGTAAAATAAGGAATTTTCTGACTCCGTAGGCTATATAGTGTATTGAAGACAGTGAACTACTTTATAACATCAGTGGTTATAGTGATCGCCTTGAAATCAAAAGATATTCTTTACGGTCTCCCGTAGAACTGCTCATTTCACTTTTACCGTAACAGTATTCATATTCATTTGAGATGGAGCACCACATATGTACGTATTTTAAGTCAAATATCAGTAAAGGATGAGTGTAGAATAGCGTGAGATGATCTGTGTAACTTTGTTACTGACTAAGATCAACGGTTTCATCAGTCAGGATAATTTATTTAACACGTGCGTTAACTACTAAAACCGGGTGCTTCGAGAGTTGGAGCTTAATCTAATCTTGCAATTGACAGGATATGACCCCGAGTTTTTAATCCTAAACCTCCATTAGGATCTCATACCTTTATCGATAATTATTTTATTTCATTTATATTTTTGCCTTACAAGATATCTTTGGTGTTCAACATATCAAAAACCAAGCGTGTTCACAAGCTTAGTCAAAAAGCATTTTGGGAATTTTGTTCTTTTAGTTCCGTACATATACATACATTTTTAGACACTGAATTCGACTGAGGATTGATAGCAAATTATATTGACAGAGCATTGAAATCTTATAATTTAAAATTAAATTTATGTATTCATTTATTCCTCCAACGGCCAAAGGCCAGTACATAAAAATCAGATGTGTAGTTACTATACTACAACTTTATTCAACAGGAATAAATAACAAACTTAAATGACAATACAATTATAAATTATTGAAAACAACAATTTAAAATTGAAATTTACACCGAGGCTTTGTATTCCTTGACCCTCCCTTGTTACCAAAATTACATGGTAAATTAAAATCAATTGTTCCTTCCACTAATATCTTATTTTAAAAGTCGACTAGAAAAATATAATGCCCACTACATTTTAACGTTTACTAATAGGATTTCCTATTCCTAATTGGGGCGAGCTGGTCCAGTGGTTAGAGCGCGGGACTTCGGTCCAAGAGGTCCCGGGTTCAAGTCCCGCCAAATCGCCAATGGATTTTATCTAGGCCTAAGTGATAATGCCGCAACCCCTAGGTCTAGCCTGAAGTAATGTGAAAAACAATCCCAGGCTCGTGCCTAGCGTCCTAGGACAAAAAAAGGATTTCCACTTCCTAGTATTGCATATATAGCCAAAGGTACTGCGTGTAGATAGGAAACATTTCCACTTTGATTATGACATTGTCAGTTGATTGTGCTCAATTTCAAGCTACTGGAGTTATGATAAGACGTTTATGTCTTCATAGTTTCACCTTGTCCTTTTCAGCCAGCATAAATCAACTGTTCACATTAGTTGAGCTTTGCAACAATACGCTATAAACAGCTGTTTGTGATTGAAACGTTTAGAAAGACATCGTTATGTCCATTGTAACATACCGTAAATAGTTATTTTTTTACCAAATTAAGTTAGTGGTTTTATCATGTTTTAATGATTATAAAAGTCAACATTAAGAAAAACCAATGTGACAATAACATAAGAATGTAACACAGGACCTTTTTTATAAGTTTGGGTGTTTATGTATTTTGAAATGAATTACTATCACGCGGTATAATATGCGTTATTATGATGTAAAAAGTTATTTATGATTTAAAGCTCCCTTTTTATTTTTAATTGAATTACCACCAATGAGATCTCTTTGTTTGCCGTTTGGCAAGTTGCTTGAAAACTTTAAAATGTACTAATAATTTTTTTTTATAAGAATACATAGCTGATTCTGAGGCCGTAGAACGATTGGCACACATTTTTAGCCGATTTGGAATAGCACGACTGGCACAATCATTAGAGGGGATTAAGAAGGGCCAAATTGTAAGGTTCGGAAAGGCACGATTGGCACAACAGACCGGTAAAGAAGTAGTAGGCAGGTAGCCAGAATGCGGGAAAATGGAAATAGTTGTGTCCCCACAAAGTCCATGCTGTAGTGCTTATTAGAGTAAGCGATTACTTCATCCATGGTGTAAGTTTGAGCGACAAATCTGCTGCTACGGTCACTACCCCAGCTGGACCCAAATAAAACTACACTAACCCAACCTAACTTAACTTAACCTAACCTAACTTCACTTAACCTAACCTAACTTAACTTAACTAACCTAACCTAACTTAACTCAACCTAGCCGAACCTAACCCAAGCTAACATAACCTAACCTAACCATTGAAAATACACGATATTACCGGCAAATGTCTGTCGTAGCAACTTCCCGTTTCCCCTCGTTCGATGGCGTCTACCTGGTCGAGCGGTTGTGCCAATCGTGCCTTTTCCAAGCAGGCGAGTTGACCCTACTTATTCCGCTCAAATGATTGTGCCAATACTGCCATGGGCAGAAGATCCAAAAATGTGTGCCAATCGTCCCGTTCCCGATTCCGATTAAGAAATATTTTACAGTCAGGAATAGTATTTAATTCACCCACGAAATGCTATTCAAGCTTGAATAATTAATTTTAGTGCTATAATTATAAGTAACATGGTACAAATAATACAGTACTAGTGTACCTGTTGCTCGAATTCGAGCAATTGCGAACCATTACAGGCGTTATTTTAAAACGAATAACGGTCATAATTTCCGATGACTTTATAAAAGTCGACTCAAAGATTATGGAAATACTCACGATGTACACAACAGTTAGATATAATCAAAATTGTTTGTAAATACACAGTATCTTATCTTTTTTCAAAAGCTGATCTTGGTTTTTAGAGTTTTCTACAAAATTTTCCCACTCATAGCCGCATTAGGTTCACTATAATAACGATTATAAATGAAGAAAAAACATTATTTCTATTTCTTCTACTTGGTTGTGTTGTATGTCTTTCTTATGTTTCCATAGTTAGCAATCGGCTCTTTCAATGATTGCTCAAGAAACTTAGCACAGTGTTAATTCAGTTTTATTTTTAGTAGGCCTACCTATATCAAATTGTCCAGGATTTCTCGCTTTTTTCCATTGTAATAATTACACCAACCCAAGTATCGTCTACAGATGCAATATGCCAAATAATATCATCTACGTGCAACACGCCTACGTACAATCTCCAAGAAGTGGTAAAAAAAGGCAGAAACCAACCCATACAATAGACATAAGTTAACGTCATAAGAAATAATTTTAAGAGTTACTGTGATATTAGTATTTTCCACTGATTTGGCAATAGAACATTATATTGCAAAACATGACACGATGCAGAAGAAAATCGATTTTAAATATAAAAAAACCATTGCAAATACTTCATTTTGACAAATTCAGTAAATCACAATTTAAATATTAACAGCTGTTTCATTAAAAAGTAGTGTAAAATTATACATATGGTCATAATAACAAATCTGCTGAATGTGTTGTATGTAGTGAGGTTTAGATGCGTTGTTCGACCTAGCTACATTTGTACATCAAAGTAAAACCCCTGTAGGCCTGCACATTTTTTAAATACCTGAATTGAAATTAGTTCACCTACTTCACCAAAACCATAGATGAAACGTACTCCGTAGTTAGTATATTCCAAAACTTGAACACAGCTCTCATCCTCAATGCAAGTTACTCATCTATGACACAATTAATTTTCAACCCGATTATCGAAAACTTTCATACCAATAAATGAATTTCTGGTGTTCTCTCTTGAATTAAAAAATAAATGGTGATTGAAAGTAGGAAAAAAGGCAAGTGGAAACCTTACAATATATATAAGCTAACCCGATAAGGAATAATTATATGTTCCTTTGAAAATGATATGTCACACTTATTTCATAATTTAAAATTTTCTAAGAGCAATAAAGCATAGATTTTTGAACAAAACATTTAAAATGTATCATAAATTCATCATTTTGTTTAAACTATAAAAAACTTACCATGTAGTGGAGAATCAATTGAAAATCATAAATAATAATGTAAACATTTAATTTTGACAGTTTCAGTAGACCTTTGAATACAATTTTAATATTAACAGCTGGTTCATTAAAAGTAGTGTAAAATTATCCATATGATCATAATGTAAACAAAATTGCTGAGTGAACTTTAAAGGCCTCTGGGGCAGAGCCCCAAGGAAATTTACCTCGTTTCTCTTTTGAGGGCTCACCTACAGACCAATACCTTTCTTTAGACACCCCTACCAAGTTTCTACACCCAGCCGTTCTCTCAAATTAGCTGTGACAAAACCCCCGTTTTCCTCCATAAGAATAACATGGGATGGGACTTTAAAGGCCACTGGGGCAGAGCCCCGAGGGAATTTACCACGTTTCTCTTTTGATGGCTCATCTACAGACCAAGACCTTTCTTTAGACACCCCTACCGAGTTTCTACGCCCAGCCGTTCTCTCAAAATAGCTATGACAAAGAAAAACAGTTTCAAATTAATATATAGATTGGCTGTTTCAAAGACGCCTTTCAATTTTAAAAACAATATTTAATTTGGACTTAAAAAGCTGAA